TCCTACTGGAGCTAATGAAGCTTCAGTGATGCCTCTGGAACAATGGAGCAATTTATATAACTACAGGTTGGAGATGTCAAATAAGGAATGGTAATTGAGGAAGGGTGCTGAGGAGAGACGGTGGGAGCAAAGTTCCTCTATCTGTGTAAAGAGATCTGTCATTATTGGTGATTAGGGAGGAAGCATTACAGAGCCAAAAAGAAAGTATCTGTGCTGAAAAATGTTCTTTGATAGTTTATTGATATGCAGATGCTGCTCTATGCCACGGACCTTGTTACAGTGGCCTTTACATCCTCAAGTTAATGGAGTGTAGGTTTGTACTAAGAGAAGGGAACTGGCATTACCTCCACACAGGTCTCATGGGAAGTCACTTAGCCCGTTTCTTTAAAAAGCTCATGGGCACAATTTACAGCTGCATGAACGTTGTTTACTGACACTCCATGCATATGTTGGATACTTCTCTCCGGAAATAACTGGATTTCTTTTCTCTGTAGAAGCCTATGTGCTTCCACAAATATTTGATGCGTATTCATAGTTACAGCAAATCGTCTTTCATGGTTTTTGAAAACAGGTCCTGCCTGCTCGGTTTATGTCTAGACAATAGGAATGGGTCTTTTTTTTTTTTTTTTTTTTTTTTAAGCAGGTATGGTAGCAAGAAATATATATAGGTGTTTTGCTAAGCTAGTTGACAAGAAGCCCTACCTTGTCTAATGGTAATGTGTTTTCACAGTTCATATTTGATTATGCCTAGAAGCTCCCCAGTCCATGCCTCTTCCAAATGCATAGAGACGTTTATATTCTGAACACGAAAAATCAGCAGAATTCAAATGCTCTTTTAAGCATATTTGAATTAGTCATCAGCTACTCTGAAACATCAAACCAGCTCATAACATTTTCAGTATGAAAACCAGGCTCAGGTGTGACCTCATGTCCAGGCATAAGTAGTTATTTTTCTTTTTTATTTGGCAAGGCAAGAGCTCTTATTTCAGGAAGGAATAGAAGTATCTTCCCTGCAAAATCCACCAATGAGTAAAATCACTTTCAGCTAAGTTTAGGTAATTCAGCCCATATGGAGGTCAGAGACCTTAAAAATACTGTGCAAAAGGCTCACAGTGAAATGTGTCCATTTTTTTACTCTTTGGAGAAAGGACTTTAAGACCAAAAGCACATTCTGAAAGCGCAGAGAAAAGTACCATTAGGACTTTAAATTACACAGAAATATATTGATGTCACTAGTGGGACTCTTAAGAAAGCGTGGCGCTTGCATAGACTGCATGTGCACTTCAGTGCAGGTACATGATGGTCTTATGGATCACTGAAAGCAAAACCAATCTCTACCAACTCCCTGTGAGTATTATGAATTTTATGGGTCTCTTAAAACTGGGTATTTTGCTTATAGCTTTAGCTCTTTGACTGTGTGAACATGTGAAAGAAAGAAATTCCTAGCGCACGTGCTTGCAAAGTCACCTTGAAATTTAAAGCTGGTCTCATCTTTTTTGAACAAAGTTGCTGCCAAAGGATGTAGGGGAAAACCTGCTGTTTGCCTTCAGTACATAAATACTTAATCATAAGCTAAGAATTTGAGATCGGAGGCTCAGACTGTCTGGAAAAAGTCATGTTCAGGATTTAAGTAGTTGCAACTCCCTTTTGAAATGGCTGCTTGCTCAGCTTGTCATCTGCAGGAAAACCAGTTCTGGAGCTAGGAGTGTTAATGTTTTGTTTGTATGTTTATTTGTTTGTTTGTTTTAATTTGATTCAGTGAATTCAAGCTCTAAGAAGGGGAAATTTACAGAAAGGGGGGAAAAAAATCTGCTAAAATAGATTAGTATATGCTCCCTGTTACTTAGCTCTGGTCTTGTATAATAATATTTTAACATTCGTGACATGTATTGGAATGTGGAGGAAATAAGGAAAACAAAACCACATCCCTCTGTCATCTTCCTATTTTAGGAAGAACCTGGGCTAGAAAGCCCAGTTACCAGTCCCTGCTCAGGCAAACGTCTCATATAGGAAGGACTGATAAAGTCTTTGTTCATTCATTTAGTCGGAAGTAACAGAACCGTGGTATGGAAGGTATTCTCAGGTCTAGTTTGTCAGAGATTCAGCTGTTAACCACAGAAAGCTGTGAGAGTTTGCTTAGATGAACTCTATCTTTTCTGTTACGTTTCCTCTCTTTTAAAAGGGTAGAAATGTCTGTACTAAGATTCCTGGGCTTTCAGCTATGTTTTGGGGTATTTCTGTGAAAAAGAAACCCCACCAAAAAGGCAGAAGTAACCCAGCAAGGTGCGTTATGCTGTAATCTTACTCAGTTTTGTTAAATAACTGGTATCTGTTTTGACTTTGCAGTAGTTACCTGTAGTATGATATTTGTTTTGGTGGCAGCAGATGGCACGCAATCAACATTTATTTGCAAGCATGCTGAGGACTGGTGAGCAGAAATCAGGGTATCAGAGGGTGTGTGTTCTACAGGTACAAGAAACAGACCTTTGTGTCATGTAGAGGCAAAAGAAGTGGTACGGAGCAAGTGTTGTGGGCATCACTTCAGAAGCTGCAAGGAAAATCTTCCTGGAGAAAGCTGGCTCTTTGAATGATGCAAGACCACATTAAATGGTGCCTATTTCCCTTTTACAACCAATTTAGTATCATTTTCAGTTACTTGGCCTCTACTGTATTTCAAAGACCTTCCAGTGATCCAGTGAAGATCATGCAGGATAGTCTTTAAAAGAAGAAAATACAATTATTTTTCTGGAGGGGGAGAACGTGAGATAGGTAATCACTATTTAGTACCAGGTTAAAAAAAAAAAAGACATACAACAATTTCTCCACCCTTTTTTTTATGGTGTAACACAGCCAGTAGCTTTTCTTTTTATCAGACTGAATGATCTAGTAGTCCCACCTCTCTTCATGAACAAATGAAGAGAACCACAGCTGAAAACTGGTACCTCGTTTACGTTATGACTGGTGTCATTTTTAGGTGGGACAGTGGATTTGGTAAGTCACAGGAAGAGTTAGTGTTAATTAATCTTTTGAGATCTAAGTTGCATGTAACATGCTCTGGAAAAGAACCAGAGTTAGAAAGAATTAAGTGATGTGTGCTCACCACACCCTTGGTGTGCTGTCAGGAACCTGCTAATCAGAGGTAAGAGAAACTCGCCTGTTTCGGGAGCTATTGTTTTGTGAAATGTATAGGCTTTAACTGTCTCCTCAGGCAAATCTATAGATGCTTTGCTTTCAATTAGATTTTATCATTTCCAGCAACACCCTGTTTACTGTAAAATATTTGGCAAGCTTTCTATAAAAATACTTTATTGAGGTTTTCAGAAGATAGCAGACACAAGGAAAGGTACAAGCAGGCTCAACAGTACATACTGTCAATTCTTAGTACACTTCAAAGGATGTATTTTAACCCATATATAATGGTTTGACTGAATATGTCACAAGACTGAAATACCATATACACAGAACAAGACATCATTTAAAACCTGACTTCAGATGACAGTATTAATCTACTCAACAAATATCACTGGAATAAAGTTGGATAGCATTTTCTTTTATTCCTAGCAGCAGCCAAAAGGCAGTTTGCTTACAACAGCTAGGTGTAATTGGCAATCACAACATCACAGGCTTTTGGGTACTACTTTACAGCATTTGGGTTTCTATTCGTAAATGTAGTTTTCAGACTTATGATCTTGAGCTTCCCTGTACAATACTGTTAAATATGAGCGTTTGCCATGGCGACTAATTATGAATTTGTATTACTGTATCACTGAGCAGTGCCAACAGAGGTGGGCAGCTGAAGTCTTTCACTTTATGGTCATACTACCTCTGTGCCCTAAGAGGTTACAGAATAAATGGGCATGTGTGATGAATCATGAGATGGGAAGCAGAGATAAAATGCCCAAGATTTTATGTTAAGACTGAGGCTAGAGCCCTTGTCTCTTGAATCTGGTGCTCTACCTGTGGAAATAGTTGGTTGCTTTAAAAAAAAATAAAATAAAATTGATGCTTATGTTGCCTAACCAGCTCGACCCAGGTCTCCATTCAAATTACGTATTTTAAAAGGAAGCATGCAAGAGTTCTGGAACTTGTTAAAATTAAGAGGTCTGAAATGAACTTTAAAAAGAAGGAACACAAGTTTCACTTCTCCCAGTGCTTGTTATTCTCCAGTACATGGCCAAAAGAGTATTTTTAAGATGCTGCAGAAGAGATTTTAAAATGTCTTTGGATCATCATAAGGGAGACTGTGGAGGAGCTGATAGCCTGCTGGCACCTTTCACTGGGCACAGCAGCCGTCGTCTTCGGGTCTGCCAGCACTCCCGCGTCCTGCGGGGCCAGGGACTGGGTGTGTTCCTGCCACGCAGCTGTGGGCAGGAGGGAAGTGCTCCCATGTGCTGTGGCAGCGTTAGTCAGTGTGTGGCTGGATGCAAAGGAAGTTGGATCAATTTTGAAGTAGGAATCGGGGAATGCCAACAAGGTGCTTCAGGATGCTCGGCGCCTCTGAGTCTGGCTGTAGACTCCTTAGGGCTGAGATTTGTCCTTTTTAAGGAGCAGCAGGAACATCTACTTCACAAGAAAAGAGTGCAAAGCAAAAAGAATAAAGAAAAAAGTCTCCGATTCATGGGAAAAATCAGGTTTGCAAGCAAGTAAGCTGTAGTTTAGTCCAGGGGTTTGAGGTTAGATAATTATTTTGGGGTTTTAGTTTTTATTTTTCTGTATTTTAGAAAACGCCGGTGCTGCCCAGGCTGACTAGGTGGCAGCAGAGCTCTTTCGTGGCACCTGCAAGTGGAGGACACAGATTTCACTGCCTGTGGTTGATGTCAAAAAAACCCTTATCCTGTGTGATTTTGTTGTTGATGGACTAGAATAAAGGAATAGTGGTCTCACTACTGCTTTCCTTGCGTGCCCCAGATCAGTGCTCCCGGGTTCTTCCAAGGAAACAAGCTACAGGACTTTTCCATAACACGGGTGTATTAAAACAAGGCTCTTCTCATCCACACACTTCACTTCCAGCAGTTCTGAAGGGGATCGTGAGGTTGGATCTTTAGCTTCTTGGGACAGAAGAGTTTCATAAAAGCTCTTCTGAAGCTGTAGTGGCAGAGAGGGTAAAGGACAGGGTTGACAGCTGAGTTGATCCACAGCAGCCAAAAGGAAGTCTCGTACCAGTAGTCAGAGATGCAGTGGCCATGGCAGCCAGCACGGATGATCATCAGGAGAGTGTATGGTGCCCAGCAAATCCCAAAAATACCCACGATTATTGCCAGTGATTTAGCCACTTTCTTGTCTCTAGAGAGCCTGAAGCGTTGAGTCATGCTCTGGGACACTATCTTCATCCGTTTCTCTAAGGACAGAGTGGATGCTGAATTTTTACAGCTCTTTTTGTCGCAACACTTGGGTTTCCCAGAGCACTCGGAGCTTGTTGACAGCAGGTCTTTGGCACCCAGGCTGGCAGTGGAGGCTGCTGCTCGAGCTTTGCTCTTAGAGAGGGCGAGGGTTTCAGCTGGCTCCTTCTGCTCCCACTTACAGCATTTCAAAGAAAGCTTTGCTTCTGGGCTCATTTCCATCTCTTCAGTGAAGGAATGGTTGTGCACTTCATGGAAAATATCCAGGCGTATTTTGGTACGCTTCTGTATGTTCAGGTAAATGCTCAGGTTGAAAAACATTACACTGATGAAAGGGGTGAAAAACTCCAGCGTAGAGGCTGTCATGAGAAAATACCAGTTGTAGAAAAATTCAGCATAGCATTCCCCAGTGGGTATGATACTCCGGCCTGATATGTACTCCCAGCTGATAATGGCAGGTCCATACAGCAGGAACGCTAATACCCATACCATCACCATCTTCAGCACCGCTCGCTTGGTGTTGCCTTGCTGGGCTCTGTAGGCGACCTGCAACAGGGAAACCTTTTCTTAAGTATGGCCACACACCCCAACTGGTTGAGGCTCTTCACAAATGAACTGTTAGCATTCCTGGTAAAGTTGCTAGGCAATATCCCAGCAGTCTAACAAATTCATATGCCATAGACAACGGGAGCAATTGCTAGATAAATCACACTCCTGCAGGGAAGACTTAGAACTGTCATCTTGCAGCTCCAAAACCAGACATGGCTTCTGCTTAGTGGAAATGTACTGACTTGGTTGGAGCCCGGCAGTCCGCCACACCCCACCACTTGCCTGAGTTGTCCACAGCTACTCTCTGTAAGCCCAGGGAGAGGCATGCCTCAAACTCCTGGGCTAGGCAGGCACCTAGCTCTGGTTCTCTCTGAGCCTGTAGCTAATCCACGTTGAATTTAGTTGGAGTCAGGGCACGAGCATACAGCAGTGGATCTGATCTGCCTGCGAATTGCTCGTTACCTCCTGCGAAAAGCTGAGCATTTTCATCTCTCCATGTACCCAGAGACCCTGGGGCTGTGCCCTGCCGAAGTTGGTACTGCAATCCACTGTCTTGGTAGCCAGGGAGAAGCTGGGAGTCCGACCGCAATCCGCTTGTTTGTCCGGGAGATAATAAGCCCCTGCAAGTTAGTAACAGCTCTGCTTACCTCCCTGACTCACTTGTGCACCGCTATCCTGTCCTCTGGGAAGGGAACACCTGCACAATGGGGTCTGAACCTTAAATGATTTAATTATGCCAGAAACACTAATCTGAAGCCACAGCTGAATTACATATTTGTGGATAATTATTGCTTTCCATCACCAGGCTGAAAGATTCATAATTTCTGGAGGATTGAAAGAGCTTTTAATTATTGCAGAGAATCTGGAGAATAGAGCAGGAGGGGAGTTACTCCCTCTCAGCTGCCATGACAGGACTCACCGCTCTTGTGACCGAGAGGAATCTGTCATAGCTAATCAGTACGATGTTGAAGACCGAAGAGGTGCAGAGCAGGTAATCAACTACCAGCCAGAGTTTGCAGAGGCTTCTCCCGAAGATCCATCTCCCCGTCAGCACGTAGGGCACGTACAAGGGGATGCAGAAGGCGCCTGCAACCAGAGGGGCCCGTTCCCACCGAGACGCGGGACCCTG